CGACAAGGCTGTATATTGTCTCCCTGCTTATTTAACTTATATGCAGAATACATCATGCGAAAGGCAGGACTGGATAAATCCCAAACTGGAATTAAGATTGCTGTAAGAAATATCAATAACCTCAGATATGCAGATCATACCACTCTGATGGCAGAAAGTGAGGAGGAATTAAAGAACCTCTTAATGAGGCTGAAAGAGTTGAGTGCAAAAAATAGTCTGAAGCTCATCATCAAAAAACCTAAGATCATGGCCACTGGTCCTATCTACTTACTTACTTACTTAGCCATCGTTCAGTCTCAAGGTACTATGGCTGATTGTTAGTCCAAAGTCTTGGCAGGCCTTGCTAAAACAATTCCTGAGTTGTTGGAGTTCTTCAGCAGAGTGGGCAACAATGGCTGCATCATCAGCGAAGAGGACGTCCCACATGCATTTCAGTTGGACTTTGGTCTTCGCTCTCAATCTAGAGAGATTAAAGAGCTTTCCCTCTGATCTAGTCCGGAGATAGACATCTTCTCTTGCAGTTCCAAATGCGTGCTTCAGCATGGTAGCAAAAAAGATCCGAAACAGGGTCGGCGCAAGGACACAGCCTTGTTTTACTCCACTTCGGATGTTGAGCCATCAAAAACTTCAGTGCCCTTCATTTCCTCATGAAAGGACCTGATGATGTTAAGGAGTCGAGGTGGACATCCAATCTTGGGAAGTATTTTAAAAAGGCCATCCCTGCTAACCAAATCTAAGGCCTTTGTGAGATCTATGAAGGTCACAAAGAGTGGCTGTCATTGTTCCCTACTTTTCTCCTGCAACTGTCTGAGGGAGAATACCATGCCAGTGGTGGATCTATTAGCTCGAAATCCACACTGTGATTCTGGATAGACTCTGTCTGCAAGCACCTGGAGTCTCTTCAGCCCAACACGGGCAAGCAGCTTCCCTACAACGCTGAGAAGAGATGCCATGATAGTTATCGCAGTCACCCCTGTCTCCTTTGTTCTTATACAATGTGACAATGTTAGCATCCTTCATGTCCTGTGGCACTCCACCTTCCCTCCAGCAAAGATGAAAGATTTCATACAGTTCGCTGGTGATGATCTTATCCCATCACCTCCTGGCAATAGAAGGGGAAGATATGGAGGCAGCGACAGATTTTACTTTCTTGGGCTCCATGATCACTGCAGATGGTGACAGGAGCCATAAAAAAAGAAGCCTGCTTCTTGGGAAGAAAGCAATTACAAACCTAGACAGCATCTTAAAAAGCAGAAACACCACCTTTCTGACAAAGGTCTGCATAGTCAAAGCTATGGTTTTTCCAATAGCGATGTTTGAAAGTGAGAGTTGGACCATAAAGAAGGCTGACCACTGAAGAATTGATGCTTTTGAATTGTAGTGCTGGAGGAGGCTTAGTCCCCTGGAGTGTGAAGACAGGAGGAGAAGGGGACAACAGAGGATGAGATGGCTGGACAGTGTCATCAAAGCTACCAACATGAATTTGACCCAACTCTGGGAGGCAGTGGAAGAGAGGAGGGCCTGGCGTGCTCTGGTCCATGGGGTCACAAAGAGTTGGACATGACTTAACGACTAAACAACAACAACATGTCCATCTACCAAGGAGCTTACCCATTGTATTTGTCCACTGAAGTCACTGCTCTGGTTAGGCAATGTCCGTTGAGCGAAGAGGGGCAGTTCTAGAGCAGAGATTCATGCTAAGATGCAAGGGGCCTGCCCTTTGAAGAACAGGCAATTCAGCTGCATTGAATTGGGACTAAGAATCCAATCCTGTACAGGGCAGATGCAACTGAATTATTCTCAGGAGAGTTTATTAGGTGATGTATATTTACTTTGGACTCATAGTTGTTTTTCATTATTTTATGCATTTTTGTGGCACAGCAATTCAGCTGCATCTTTGAATTGGGACTAAGAATCCCAATCCTGTACAAGGCAGATGCAACTGAATTACTCTCAGGAGAGTTTATTAGGTGAGAGTGAAAAGCATGTCAGAGTGAGTGTCTGTCTCTATGTGATGTATATTTACTTTGGACTCATCGCTGCTTTTCATTATTTTATGCATTTTTGTGGCACCCTAGTGGCTTCCTCATTTAGTAGTATGCCTAAAAGTCATACCTCATGTCTTCCCTGTAATAAATTTATCCAAAGTATTTAAATTCATGAATGAATGAATGAATGGACTAATTTGTAGTTAAAAATCCTGATTATTCTCTCTTTTTCTTTCTCCACAGTTGGTGACAAAGTGCCAGCTGATATCCGGATCATTTCTATCAAATCTACCACTCTGCGTGTGGACCAGTCCATCCTCACAGGTACAAAATGTTGATTGCTATTGTCATTGTAATTTTTTAAAAATAGCAGTAGCCAAGGGACTGTATAGTATACGTGAAGTAAGATAGAATCCTGCTGTTTTGTGTAAAATCTTAGCAGATCAAAGAAGATCCAGGAAAACAGAAATGTGTCTTGAGGCACCTCTTAAGGAGTGGGAAGGAGTGGATATAAGGATATCTAGAGGGGAAAAGTTCCATAGAAAAAGAAGTGGCTAGGAAAAATGTTTAAATATGCAGCAGGATTTGAACAAATACACTTGCATTGAGTGAATTGTGGGATATTTACTGAATCTGCCCTGCTGAGGGTTAGGGTATGAGTTATTAGAAAAGGATTATGGATCTTGCAGTTCCAGCAAAGAGGAATATATTCAATTCCCTTAATTGCACCACAAGGGAGATTAGCTCAATTTAGAATTAAGACTGATTCAGCAAGTCCCCAAAAACGCACCCCCCACAGCACTTAAAAACTAGTTTAAATAATCAGACATTGCTTTTAAAGTAAAAAGAATCAAGATCTTTACTCACAGAAACAACTTGCAAATTGCAGGCTGAAGCTTGATTCAGAAAGCTGCAGTAGTAAATAGTAACAGGTTCCTCTGAGGTTAGCAAGAAAGAGAAAGAGAAAGTTAAAATAGTAAAAGACAAAATGGATTCTCTCTCAGACCGCACAGGTTGAGGGAGCAAACATGGTCAATGTGAAGGAGAGGCTCAGCAGAGCATCCGCCATCTATCTTGTCCCCAAAACTTCTAGAATGTGCATGTCTCCTAAACAAAGGCAGCAAACAATTTAAATGAGAAAGGAGGGACCACTTTTGCCTGTCAAACAAAAGGCTTTGGTTAATTGGCCAGAGAGAGAGGAAGAGGTGGTCATAGAATCCAGTGTGCCCCCTGAATGGGGCCAGCCTACCACCAACTAGAAGATGCTGATGCTGCTTTTCTGTGCCAAGACTGGCTGGATATTTTTTGTCCAATGTGTTTCATTGGCTAGGGGGGGGAAAGTACTGAAATGACGAAAAATAATTGGGAATGTTCTTTTTTAAATTTGTCATGATGGTTTTTGTTTGTTTAAAAAAATTATATTCAGGGTAGCTAAAATGAACTCTATTATGCTAGAAACTAGGTACAGAATTAAAAGGGTACTGCGGGCCTGAGATGCATAAAAATCCTGTCCCGTCATCCCATCTTCATCCAGAAGTTTGTCAGACCTTTTTCTTGAGGAACATGACATTCTGAAGAATAGCCTTACAGTGCTCAGGAGTCTTGCTAAAGCAGACCCTTGACCATATGAATGCCAAAAGGATGTACAGGCTCCGCTTAAGCCATTCTAATTCCTTATGTGAAGATCTGGTTGACTTCCGGGTATGGATGAGACATGAGGAGGATCTTACATCCCAACCCCTGTCCCTACCATCCTTTAGCCCTATACATAGTTTAAGAGTTTCTGTTCTATGTATTCTCGAAGGCTTTCATGGCTGAGATCCGATGGTTGTTGTAGGTTTTTCGGGCTGTTTGGCCATCCAGAACATGGCCAAACAGCCCCCCCCAAAAAAAAATACAACAACCATCAGTTTCTGTTCTAGTGATGGTGGCATGGGATGCTGACATTGTCAACCTGGATTCTGTAACAAAGTTAGACTTTAGGGAACAAATTATCCCAATGTGAGGGTTAAGTACATTTCTTTTTGTGGATGTTGCCCTTTCTCTCCCAAATGAGAAGTAGCTCTCTCCGTATGTCTGTTCATGTGCACCTTACCTGAATTCAGTCAGTAGCTGTCTCTCCTTGAATGGACAAGGTGGCTTAACTTTTTTTTGTCCCCACCCAGGCGAGTCCGTCTCTGTGATCAAACATACCGATCCCGTCCCAGATCCCCGTGCTGTCAACCAGGACAAGAAGAACATGCTGTTCTCGGTAAATGTGACTGAAACGACTGAAAATCTAAGCTTGCCTGCTTTGGCCCATGTTTCAGGGAAATTTGGGGGTATTAAAGAACTATATTTCCCCAAGAACATGCCTTTGAGTAGCTCAGGGGTTAAGACATCTGGGCTGTGGAGCCAAAGGTTGGGAGTTCGATTGGCTGGACTGGATGATCCGTAGGGTCCCTTCCAACTCTGCAGCTCTAAGATTATTATTGCATTCTTATTATTTGGAAATGGGGGAAGTAGGGCTGTCATTGGCTTAGCATTCCTCTGCCTCCTCAGGCTGATGAAAAGGAGTCAGAAAATGCTCATGCAGATACATAACACCACACTTTACTCCCAGCTACAGGTTTAAAGTGGAAATTAGTAGGGTGGACGGGAGAGCACAACAAGCTTGTAGCTTCCATGCATCCCTACAGCCACAGGAATTTGTAATAGAAACCATTACTTGATATCACTCCATTGGCATTTTCTTGCTTTCTTAAGCAGTAGCCCAAGACAGAATGGAAATGTGAATGCCAGAACATGTCACAAATTTTGTTTTTCAGATACTCAAAATGTTAACTGGAAAATTCTCTCCCCCCCAACCCCATTTCATTATAATGTACTAGAAGCTGAGGTCACTAAATACAGCTGAATGCTGGGGAAATCAAGTCAGACAAAATAAAATATTTTGACACATAGTCAGAATGTGGAAAAGTAATTTTGTGGACTCTAATCTTCAGAATCCCCCAATTAGCTGTTTTGAGGAGCTGTAGTCCAAAAAAGAGAGAGGAATTTTTCCAAGCTTTTCTCATATTACTCCAGTACAGGAGTTACTGGTAATATATAGCCATCATGACCAAGTACTATTGACAGTCCTATTCTCCATGAATTTGCCTGATGCAGTCAGAAAGCCAGCCATACTAGTAGCCATCATGATAGCTTGTGGTAGCTGATCCAATAGTTTAACTAAACCAAACTTTTCTCATATTACTCCAGTACAGTTTAACTAAACCAGTGGTTCTTAACCTTGGGTTACTCAGGTGTTTTTGGACTGCAACTCCCAGAAGCCTTCACCACCAGCTGTGCTGGCTGGGGTTTCTGGGAGTTGCAGTTCAAAAACACCTGAGTAACCCAAGGTTAAGAACCACTGAACTAAACTATTGGATCAGCTGCCACAAGCTATCATGATGGCTACCACTATGGTTGATTTTCAGAAGACATCAGGCAAATTCATGGAGAATAGGATTGTCAATGGTACTTGGTCGTGATGGATATATATTAACTCCTGTACTGGAGGTGGTATATCTCTAAATATTAGCTTTTAGGGAGCACATGAAAATGTATGCTTTCTAGTCAAGTAAATGAAATTTTAAAAACATATATTTATTTCTTTCAAATAATGTTGTTATTCTCCTGCTCATTGGGGATGATGTGATATACTGAAGCCTCATTTTACTCCTGGGAGGAGTTCCTTTCTGTGATGGGCAGGAAAGAACCCCTCCACTCCACAGGCCGGGTGAGGTGGAGTTTAAGATCACCAAGAGAATTTTTAGTATTTCACTAAACACTAGTTCCAGTGATTGCAATTATTTTTGCAGGGTAAATTCGTGATAATGAACTTGATAGAATAAACAGTACAGATATAAGGAATATGTCCTTTGTAGTTTGAGGACTAGAAACCTGGTTCTTTTGCTAGTAAAAACAAATTCTCAATTGAAGTGTAACTAATAAATGAAGGATCCTGCTGTCTTCGACCTTTAATTGATGCAGCTTTATTGCACCATGTTATGTCTTTCAACATATTTGAAGAGTTTCTCCCCCCTCACCACCGTACTCTCTGATGCTTCTTGCTTCATCCTCCTCTACCACCCTCTTCCACCTTTTTCCAGGGTACCAACATCGGTGCAGGGAAAGCCGTAGGCATTGTGATTGCCACTGGTGTGGGCACTGAGATTGGCAAGATCCGTGATGAGATGGCAGCCACCGAGCAAGAGAAAACTCCCCTGCAGCAGAAACTGGATGAATTTGGCGAGCAGCTCTCCAAGGTCATTTCCCTCATCTGCGTGGCTGTCTGGCTTATCAACATTGGGCATTTCAACGACCCCGTCCATGGCGGCTCTTGGATCCGTGGCGCCATCTACTACTTCAAAATTGCCGTTGCCCTCGCCGTGGCTGCCATCCCAGAAGGTCAGCTGAGGCCACTCCGGGTTCCCATATCCCACCTGTCTTGGGATTTATTCGTCAACGGCGTTTTTAAAAATAGCCTTTGCTGTCATCATGGGCTTTTTTTTTTAATTTTTCTTTTCATTTTCCTAAGTTGCTCTTTTGTTTTTTTAATTTGTTTGATCACTGCACTGCGCAACAATTGTCCTGCAGTTTTAAAAAAGTAGCTTTGGAAAAACAAAAAGGAACACAGAAAAATAAAATAGCAATGACATCACACACAAGCATTGTTTTAATATGGCATCTCTGTTTTGGACCATGTAGCATACAAATACAGTTCTAAACGTTATTGGTCCAGAATTATTGAAAGCCATTCTTGATATGCAATCAAATTTCAACAATAACAAAAAAAATTACTATTCTTTCCCTGGTTGTGCTACACAACATGCTCAAGGAGATACAATGCATATGAAGTCAAATGCATATGAAGTCAAACAATTAATGAATATTTATTTTATATGCAAAAAGGAAATGCTTGCCTCATGCAGGCTGGAGTGTGACAGCAGCCTATAGATTAAATCAGCTTTCTTCAACAATGCAAATGAAGTCAAACAATTAATGAATATTTATTTTATATGCAAAAAGGAAATGCTTGCCTCATGCAGGCTGGAGTGTGACAGCAGCCTATAGATTAAATCAGTGGTCCCCAACCTTGGGCCTTCAGATGTTCTTGGACTTCAACTCCCAGAAATCCTGGCCAGCAGAGGTGGTGCTGAAGGCTTCTGGGAGTTATAGTCCAAGAACATCTGGAGGGCCAAGGTTGAGGACCACTGGATTAAATTATAGTTAGACTTCTGTGTGACTGGCATGAATGCCTGACTCTTAATCATTTAATAATGACAACTTAGTAATATCCCCAAAGGCCTAAATTATACTGTGGACATGAAAAAAGTTTAGGGAAACCAGGATAAGATTTTTATGCTGACTGATTTTAAGGTATGGTCAAAACCAATCTTAGGGCTCACGATTATTTAAGAATAGAGTAATGTTTTAGAATCCTGAGGTTCTGTGAAAGCAATGTTGATCTCTCAAGCATTAAGTATTTCCAATTCTGTGACCCATATCTGCAACTGAGAAGTAGTTTAGGCGATGGAAGTTTGTGATATATTGGGATGGGAGCTATAAGGTCAGTGGGCCTGAGCATTCTATAGAATCTATAGTGTAGATTCAGCCCTACACTCCCGCTTGTACTTCACTTTTGGCCTGCTTTCCAGATCTCTAGATTAGAAGAAAAGCCACCATACCAAATACCTATGTGTTAAAAAGATTAGTCACCATTGCCTTAAACCAACTCCCAGAAGCTTTCCCAACTAGCTATGTTGGCAAGGACTTGTGGGAGTTGCAATTCAAGAACATCTGGAGACGCAAGGTTGGGAACCACTGCCTTTGTCCATTTAGGCATGTGCTGTCTTTGTACATTGACTGGCAGCAGCTGGCTGGAAATATAAAATCCAGAAGGAACTGGTAGTTCAGTTAGAATCTAGGTGTGAGGAAAACATAGCCCTCCACATGTTGTTAAAACACAGCTCCATTACCTCTTTAGCATTGACCCTGCTGGGTGAGAACTGGTGGGCCACATGCTCCGTATCAATGTATTAGACTTCAGTATATTCCATCATTAAGTTATTGGTCCTTAACTTCTCAATGTCTTTAACTTCTCATTCTGTTAGTGCTCTAAGGGCAAAGAGAGACCAAGTACTTAGATCTGTACTTCAAAGGTGACTCAGTATCAAACAAAGACTGTTGTTTACCTCCTGATGGTGAATCACAAAATAAAAGGAGGCTTTGTAACTTGAATGCAGAAACCTTACTAGGAGGTAATCAAATGGCCTTTGCTTCTTAAGGCAGTTCTACCTCTAATAGTGATGCTGCCCTCTCATCGATTTCTGCCTTGAGGGCTTTATCAACTCTTCTCTCTAAGGTGCATTTGCTTTCAGTTTAAAAGATGATGAGAAAAGCTTCAGCAGATTCAGCATTCCTTGTACTGCTAAGCTTCAGCCTCTCATTTACATTGATCAATTAAAATGCTGTTTTTGTTACCCCGGACTTGAATCTATACATGCAAGATTCCCCAATGAAATGTTAACAAAAGATGGCATGGTGGGGGAATAAAAGTGGAAGAGAACAGAGACAAATTGGATATTTTAGCTTGTAAAAATCGTTCCTTCTTACTTCCCAAGATAATCTTTCCCCTTTCCTCCTTCACAGGTCTTCCTGCTGTCATCACTACCTGTCTAGCCCTGGGTACTCGCCGTATGGCCAAGAAGAACGCCATTGTCAGAAGCCTGCCCTCTGTGGAGACCTTGGGCTGCACCTCCGTCATCTGCTCAGACAAGACCGGCACCCTGACCACCAACCAAATGTCTGTTTGCAAGGTGAAAGCGAAGCTCAATGACGGAATTTTTCCACTGAGTATCTACCACCCATGCCAGTCATGGGGACATCGTGTTCTTTCTATTTTCCATTCTTATTTTTTTTTCCTTCTTCTTTCTCCATAGATGTTTGTCGTTGACAAAGTGGACGGAGATGTCTGCACTCTGAATGAGTTCTCAATTACTGGTTCCACCTATGCCCCCGAGGGAGAAGTGTGAGTAATGCCAAAGAAGCCATAACTCCTCGTCTTACCCTATTACCCCAATCCCGCACCCAGAGGAAGAAATGAGACAGATGTTTTGTTTAGTGCCCTGGTTAGCTGGCTAGATAGCTCAGTGAATTAGGTATTTGGCTGCAGAGCCAGAAGCTGGGAGTTTGATTCCCCCACTGTGTATCCCGGGAGATGAGCCAGCCTGTATAGCTTTGGGCAAGCTGCGCAACCCCAAGGCGCTTCCCAGAAGAAGGAAATGAGATGAATGACAGACAGGATATAATCCAAACAAACACAGACTAGCTAATTCTAGGATTCACTTGACCTCATGTTTAGTTCCCAGCTTTCACTTCATATGCAAGTAACATAGCTGCGCCATTTTGTTTTGCTAAAGTCTTCATATTGCCATTGCTCTATAGCCTATGAGAGCAAAATAAAAAAAATTACATGCCCCTGCATCCATGTTCTTCCTAAACCTCCTGAAACCTTTGAACCTTTTGCAATTGAGACAAAACCACCTCTCATTCTGGTGTGTTCCAAACCAGTGGTCTCCAATCTTGGGCCTCCAGATGTTCTTGGACTGCAACTCCCAGAAGCCTTCACCACCACCTCTACTGGCCAGGATTTCTGGGAGTTGAAATCCAAGAACATCTGGAGGCCCAAGGTTGGGGACCACTGTTCTAAACAATAAAGCATCTCCTTCTTTAGCCTTATTCCAGCACATGTTTCTTTGCATGGTTCACCCCTGTCAATTTTGTCCTCTGTGGACTGGAAGGCAAACTTGTTCTACTCGCAGCAGGTCTCAGCGTGATCACAGGTAGCCTTCCTGAATAAAGCCTGCTGAGGACTTTGGCCTGCTTACTCATGCAGGATGATAGGGATGAAGGGAGAAGGACAAGCACGTTTGTCCCTGCCAAGGCCTGGAAGGGTTACATTTTTGAGGGGCCACAATTTCCAGAAACTCTCAGCAGGCCTGGTCACTGCCTCTTTTCGGCACAGTGTTGATCGGGTGGAGAAACGAATGTCTGATTAGGTGTTGTAGTTCCTCTTGGAACTTCCTGAAGACAGCCTAGCATCCTAACAAACAAAACCCTTAAACAAAAAGCAGTATGATATTAGAGGGAGCTGGAATGGGAGGAGACTGGGTGATCCTCTAGCGATGTTGCTGGACTTCAGTCCCCATCATCACTCACCATTGTGGGACAGGTAGAAGTTGCAGTACAACTACCGCTGGAAGCCCATTGTTTTCCACTTCATCTTCCCTCTAGCGATGTTGTTGGACTTCAGTCCCCATCATCCCTCACCATTGACTACACCAGGTGGGACAGGTAGGAGTTGTAGTACAACAACCACTGGAAGCCCATTGTTTTCCACTTCATCTTTCAACAACCAACAGCCCCATCACCCTGTAGATGTAGAAGGGTTGGTGATCGACTTCGTAACATTTGTTTTGGGGGTGGGGAATTTGCTACTGCTTTCTTACCAGGTTGTGGCTCTTCTTTCTCTCTCTCACTCCCAATTCCTTGCTTTTTCCCTCATGCAGTTTTAAGAATGACAAACCAGTTAAGGCTGGGCAATATGATGGGCTTGTTGAGCTGGCTACTATCTGTGCCCTCTGCAATGACTCTGCTCTAGATTTCAATGAGGTGAGTGCTTCTCTCTTGCACTGTCCTGCTCAACACTAATTTCCTTCCATTGTGATCCATATCCACACTGTTTATTGTTTATTAAATACTGCAACTTTGCCAAAGAATCCAGGTTACTGTTGTTTAATGAAGATGGCAAAACCTCTGTGAAGACATTCATTTATTTAGTAATACATCATGAGAATTCCACAAGCCACTCTTCAGTCTGAAAGATTCCAGAGCAGGAATTACACTTTAAATTAAACAAAGCAAAATTAAATTTGAAAATCATCCTGGCTATTACAATACTCAGGATCGCTGTGCCCACCCCAAACGCCCTCCAAGTTAACTCTATGTGATAACATTCCTTCTTATCATAAAATCAGAGAACCATGCGGTTGGAAGGAGCCTATAAGACCAGTGAGTCCAATCCCCTGCTCAATGCAGGAATCTAAGCCAAAGTACAACTGATAGATGTTCTAATTTTTCTCTTGAATGCCTCCAGCATTCGAGCACTCACTACCTCCTGATTTGACCGGTCTGTAGTTCCCAGGTTCCTCCTTTTCACCCTTTTTAAAGATAACAACGTTAGCCTTTCTCCAGTCATTTGGCACTTCACCCATTCTCCATGATTTCAAGAAAATAATAGGCAGTGTTTCTGAGAGTTGTTCAACTAGTTACTTCAATACTCTTGGATGCAGTTATTGATATTGCTTAGGGAAGATCCAATAACAAATGAACAAACAAACAAACAAATATTTATTTAATCCTTGGTAAGGATGCATCCCCTCTCATATCCTCCGCAGGTCTTCACCATGTGTGGTAGCTTACATCTTATTTAATACACACCTTCTCCTCTTCTTGTTTCACTGCAGTCCAAAGGTGTGTATGAGAAGGTGGGTGAAGCTACTGAAACTGCACTTACCTGCTTGGTTGAGAAGATGAATGTCTTCAACACAGATGTCCGCAGCCTCTCCAAGGTGGAGCGTGCCAATGCTTGTAACGCTGTAAGTATTGACTTCTAAGAATTGCCCCTTTTTGAGTTCTCTGTTGCTCCAAGGATCAGTTAAAACACAATACTGTAATGCAAACAAATAGATGAAGAAAGCCAAGCAAGGACGACGAGGGGCAGCTGCAAGAACCCACCCTCACTGAACTGTGTGTGTCTGACACATCTTGCACTTTTGTTCTCACTCAGTACTCACTTTGTAAAAATCCAAGTGTGCTTCATTCAGATTGTGATTTTTTTAAAAAAAAAGTTTACATGCACAATGGTGGGTTTTTTTCTTAATAGGCCTGTTTTTCTGGATACTTTTTCTCAGGCTGCAGTTACATAGGATTTACTGCGGAAGAAAAAGAGATGCGTTCACATTTTAAAAAACTGATCACATGACACAAAGACCAACTTGAATCAGCCTGGCACTTTTTTCCTTCCAAAGTGGAGTTTTTTTTTCCCTGCCACTGGGGTGGGTGGGTGTGTTTCTGCTTTTTTCAAGCCTAAGCAATTTGAATCTTGTTTCCTCCATGTGATCGGTTGTTTAGTTTCCCCAAAAGAACAGAGGGCTTGACTGAGGGTGGTATCCTGTTGATGTATTAAGCTGGGTGTGATATTTTGGACAGCAGGAACACCCACCCCTGTGATCTTGCACCCTAATCACCCTGAACGTGTGTTTTTTTTTAAACAAGCTACCTGGTTTAGCACTAAATCACCTTATTGCTGCATTAATATAGGTATTATTTATTGCATGGACAAAAAAAGAGAGAGACAAATCTATATGAAATAGAAACAGTTCTGACAAACTACAGCAAACTCTTATATTTCCGTGGTATGAAAATGGTTAACTTCAGATGATAGCACTGGTATCATAAGTTATCTTCTGCTGTCTTCATCATAAGTACTACATACACGGAAGGAACTAGATGTTTTCCTCAAACTGTGTCAATGTGAACTGACTTTCATTGCTTCACCTGGCATACACCTAACTGTCCTTTAATACAGAAGTCCCCAACCCCTGGTCCGCGGCCTGGTGCTGGTTCGTGGCCTGAGCTGGACCGGGTCGCGAAGACAGACCTCCCACTCACCCCGCACGCACGCACCCCCACACAGCCTGTTTGAAGGCATGCACCCACCCGCATGCATGCACCCCCACACAGCCTGTTTGTGCCTGCGCATGCGGTCCAGCGTGCCCATGTGAGCGCCGTGCTGCCGTTTGCACATGCACATGAGCGCGTGCACCCCTGCACAAGTGCTGTGCCGCCGTTTGTACACATGCATGAGTGCACGTGCACCTGCAGAAGTGCTGCTCCACCGCATGCACATGAGCGCATGCACCCCTGCACAAGTGCTGTGCCGCTGTTTGTACACGTGCACCTGCAGAAGTGCTGCTCCACCATTTGCGCATGTGCATGAGCACGCCTGTAGAAGCACCACGCTGCTGTTTGTGCATGTGCACGAGCACGGGGGGTGCCCCGCCTTCCCCAGCCAGTCCTCAGGGTGAAAAAGGTTGGGGACCTCTGCTTTAATAGAGTGCATATTGGGCCCCATTTTAAAGTGCTGTAAGGCTTCAGCCAAGGAAGAGAGCTCTTCTGCAGGGCTTGTTTGTCCAGCTTGTCCAGTGGGTGGCTGTGAAGCACAGCAGCAGCTGGAGGATGTGGTGGTGGTGGCAGCAGCGTCTTAGAGGGCTAGGGAGACCCTCCACTATCGCTGCTGCTGCCGCCATTGTGCACTCCCTGACTGCCTCCATCCAGCTGCCTGCCAGAGAGGCCAGCCCTGTGGAGGAAGAAGGGCAGTGTGCTCCATGTGCCACAAAATGAGAGCTACTGAAGCTGACTCCCCAAGCAAAAACAGTGCTGCCAGGAGGCAGTGCTGGCCACGGACTGCATTGCACTTGCTGAGGGGAGCAGCCAGTCGCTCAGTTTCTGCTGCATGAAAACATGCATGTGATAGGAGCATTTTCTCTCTGGGCTGCAGACAAGAACTGCGGATTCTTTGCAGTGTGTCCAGTCCAGCAAGATCTACATATTGACATAAATGATCTGGTCTGTTTGTTGTTGTACTCTAGCCTGGGAATGTAGAGTGGGGTTAACACCATGTTTTCCTTCCACTTCTCCAGGTGATCAAACAACTCATGAAGAAGGAATTTACCCTGGAGTTCTCCCGTGACAGGAAGTCCATGTCCGTCTACTGCTCCCCAGCAAAAGCCTCTCGGGCTGCTGTCGGCAATAAGATGTTTGTCAAGGTTAGCAAACCCCATTGTGTCCTGGCTTCACAGTCACAGAAGAGAGTAGGCTCGGCATCACAGCCCCCAATCCGAATTTGAATTTGTTATATTTTCCTCCTGACATCCATTCAAGAAGCTCACAATAGCACCTGTGTTATTAGACAACTAAGTAGCAACCCTGTGAAAGAAAAGGCAATGAGTGTATAGCCTTGGCTTGGTTACTGCTGCTGTTCTTTGCTTTCCTATATGCTTGGGTGGGCAATCTCAATGGCGTCGGGGGCCGTTGGCTACCTGCTTGAGGTCTGCACATCCAAAGGGATTTTTTCTGTTCTATTCTATCTTCAAGTCTGATTTTTTTTAAAGCTGGCAAGATAACTTTATCAGGATCATGATCAGCAGAGCAATTGTAGTGCCCTGGTGTGGAGACCCTTCTCTTAAAAATCTGCCAGAAGGCTATGTTGCAAGGTATCAAGAGAGCAATTTTTATTTATGCTAACAGAGAAAATCAGTGTACACACAGCAGTGTGTAGTAAAGAAGTCCAAAAAACCAGAAATGCATAGGATAGATTTATAGAAAAGTACACAAAGGGCCATAAATAAGTAATTCAATTGGTATTTCATTCATTCATCTTTCTTTCACGTGAATATGACCCAAAATTAAATATTCCTTTGAGCATCTGGCTTATCTTCCAACATGATAGACTGGTACTTCCTCAGGAAAATGCTTGTGTTTATTATTTTATGATACCTTCTTTGTAGTTCGTGAATGCTTATCTGTGTCTTTACAAGGATAGCTGTTTTCCCCATAGTACATTTGCTTAGCGACACTACAAATATAAGAAAATACATTGATTATTTCTAATGCATTTATGCTGACTTCTAATATATATGGTTACAATGAGGAGGGATCTCTTCAGTTGACTGGAATTTTAAAAGTACTGTATAAGATATTCATATGAATGTTCCTTCATAAGAAAATAAATAAAGAAAAATTAAAAGAAAAATCTGTGCATAGAAAGTTAGCATGTCAGGAAGAAGTCTAGGTTTTGAAGATAACTAGTTTCCAATGGACAAAGGTTTTGTTAAAGGAGAATTGTTCAACTGTTTGAGTTGAATACTGCAAATGCATGTGAAAAAGAGGAGTTAGTTATTAAGTATAAACAAGAGTCCCTAACTTGTGTTTGTTTCTGCTACTTCTACTCCCCAAACAAAGTTTTTTAGACCTTCTGGTGTAAAAGTCTATTGACTAAGTCTAGTAATGATCCAGACGCCCTGCTTGCCAACCAGATCCTCTTCTCCTCACTCTTACCTGATTTCCTTTCTTCCCTGATGCACAGGGTGCCCCCGAGGGTGTGATTGACCGTTGCAGCTATGTCCGTGTGGGCACCACCCGTGTTCCTCTCACCCCTAATGTTAAGGACCACATCTTGGGAGTCATCAAGGAGTATGGCACAGGACGGGACACCCTCCGTTGCCTGGCACTGGCTACTCGTGATACGCCCCCAAAGAGAGAAGATATGTATCTTGAGGATTCCACCAAATTTGTGGACTATGAGGTAAAACAGGGAAGCATTTTTGCGAGGGGAGGCAAATTGCAAAGGAAGAAATAGAGAAGATGTGATGAATGATTAATCAGGGATCCAGAAGTCAAAGCACCTACAAGTTTAAGGAATCAGAGTTGAAAATGCTTTAGGAAGCAACTTCTCAAGCAAATTCTCCTTCTTGCAAAAAATTGGAATGTGTGTTCTTTCAATTCATTCTTGTCCACTTTTACCTTTTCAGTTACTGGTGTTGTTGGATTTGGATTATTCAAACAGAACTTGGAAAAGTTAGTTTTTTCAGTGACAGATCTCAGGTTCATGCTAGCCAGGGGATTCTGGGAATTGTAGTTCCAGATCTACAATCTATCCACTTATTCCCAACTAGGTTGACCCATTGAACAAACAGGACTTGTTTTATATCAAAAGTGAATCTCATTGATTCAGTGGATCTACTATAGATGGGAATAACAGTTAGATTTCACTATCAGAATGCAGAATATTTCCAAGTTCAGTTTTTTGTTTCTGTTTTGTTTTGTTTTGGGGTGAGCCATGCACAGTTTTGAATTTGCAGTCTAATGGGAGGTGCAGGTAATATACAGTGGTGCCTCGCTAGACAGACATTGACTTTTTGCGATCGCTATAGCGATTCGCAAAACAGTGATTCCTATGGGGGAATTTCGCTGGACAATGTTTGGTCCCTACTTCGCAAACCGATTTTGCTAGACGACGATTTGCTTTTTGCTAGACAACGATTTCGCTAGACAGCGATTTCAGTGGAACAGATTATCGTCTAGCAAGGCACCACTGTATATGCATTTAAAGAAACCTGAATTAAGATAATTCCTCACCCTTCTGTCCCTATCGTGTGCATTAGCATAGAATATTGAGCCCGACTGTGAATGTGTTCTGTGGGCAAGGAATACTTTTGTAGGCTGGTTTTCTGCAACCCTTCTGAGCTTTCTCCCATCCACAGATGGACCTGACTTTTGTGGGCTGCGTGGGCATGTTGGACCCACCTCGCAAAGAGGTGATGGGCTCCATCCAGCTTTGTCGTGAAGCCGGCATCCGTGTCATCATGATCACCGGGGACAACAAAGGCACGGCCATTGCCATCTGTCGCCGTATCGGCATCTTCTCCGAGAACGAGGAGGTGACCGGCAGGGCTTACACTGGCCGCGAGTTTGATGACCTGCCCTCAGCAGAGCAGCGGGAAGCCTGCAAGAGGGCCTGCTGCTTCGCTCGTGTTGAGCCGACGCACAAGTCCAAGATCGTAGAGTTCTTGCAGAGCTTCGATGAGATCACAGCCATGGTAAATGGATGGGCCGCAAGGGCGGGGCATCAGGGATGGGCGGGGCAGTGGCAAATCTTCTCCCCCTGCAATGGGAAAATGCCCATGTTCCAATGTATGTCACATACACGTTGATTCCTCTGATTTACTGAAGGAGTATGTTAGGAACTCATTACTAAAACCGAGCCGAATGCTGAATTTGGAAACAGGGCCAGCTCTCCTATTGGGTAATGAAGCAATCACTTGAAGTATCATTAAAGAGCAGGGAAATGGTTACAGCCACGGATGGGGAGATATGATAGCAAGATTTTCTGGTTTGTGCAAAATAGTGTGAGCAGCATAGGATACAACATAACTTGACTTTGGGTGGAAGTGGGAGGTATTTGTTCTTCTGCCATTACTGGCAAAATGTATTGGGCTGTCCTTCTCTCTTCACGCATTTCCATATGTATAGGGAGTGAGTATTCACATGTGCCAAAGGCATTGTCTGTGAAGTGGTTCTCCGTTTCTTCATCCTTGGAAGATAAGAATAGTCCCCCTCCATTAAGCCAAGGGTCTAATCCAGCAGCCTGTATGTTTCTGGAGCCAGCCAGATACCCTCAAAACAAGACATGGACACATTTCCCCTGCCTCTGCAGTTGCTTCCCAATAGTTAATACAATGCACTATACAGTACTGCCTCTAGGAAATGGAGGTTTTAGTTAGCCTTCATTTAGCTGCTTATGAAGCTATTTTCCATTAATGTTTTTCATTCCCTTTTAAAGCCATATAAGCTAATGACTTCTGCATCCACCTTGTAGCAGTGGTCTACCAGTTGCATAATATATGAAGAAGTGCATTCATTCTTTCATTATCCTGAACCTACTGCCACACATTTCATTGAGTGTTAAATGGGAGAAGGAGAAAAATCTATCTTTCTACCTTCTCCACACAAGACACCATTTTATGAGCTGTTGTTATCTTCCATCTGCCAGCTGTCTCACTGTCAAATGTTGTCCTATACAGACATACGTATTTTATCAGCCAACCTGTCATTAAAATTCTCTAGGCAGTTTATTTATTGGACTTATATACCGCCCCATAGCACTACAAGCACTCTCCGGGCGGTTTACACTTTAATTATACAGGCTACACATTGCCCCCCCAGCAAGCTGGGTACTCATTTTACCGACCTCGGAAGGATAGAAGGCTGAGTCAACCTTGAGCCGGCTACCTGGGATTTGAACCCCAAGTCGTGAGCACAGTTTTTAGCTGCAGTACAGCATTTTAACCACTGCGCCACGAGAGGATCCCAACAAAATACTTTATTTTTTAAAAAAAAAAGAGAGAAGAGCCAATACACATTATGAAATCACAAATCCAAAACCAAGAATGAACATTTTAGTCTTTCCTAATACAAAATGTTCCACCAGCCCCCGCTGATCATTTAAATGCTCCTTTTCTTTACCTTGTTCTGTGGGATTGGTTCTGAGATAGAGTATTTGCTCTCCCACCTCCACCCTACATATTAACTCTTCAGTGCCTTATTCACACACAGAGACATACACTCCGTTTTCTCCATTCTCTCCTGGCAGACCGGTGATGGTGTAAATGATGCCCCAGCTCTGAAGAAAGCTGAGATTGGTATTGCCATGGGCTCTGGCACCGCTGTGGCCAAGACTGCTTCAGAAATGGTGCTAGCAGATGATAACTTCTCCACCATTGTCGCTGCTGTTGAGGAGGGTCGGGCCATCTACAACAACATGAAACAATTTATCCGCTACCTCATCTCCTCCAATGTGGGTGAGGTCGTCTGGTAAGGGACTCTCGCCTTTCTTCACTTTGCTGCTGCCTTTCTGCAGCTCCGTTGTCCAAATCTCCTTCTGCAGACCCTGTTACTAAACAAGATGGGTCAAGTGAAATGATAACACTTAGCATGTTTTTAGAAGTACAGTAAACCCTCAAGTGATGAAAGCTGTTTGGCATAGCATGACATTTTCCTCACCTTTGTATCTTGCATTTAGCATACTTTGTTTTGAGGGGCTGGTTATGATAACATAGACATGGGCTTAATTGCAAGTCTGAGCGTTGATGCACATACTTCTGAGGAGCTTACATTGTGGAAGGGAAAGCAGATTAACCAGAAGAGCCGTGCCTTCTCCCAGTGTCTACCATGATACTGAAGAGGACTAGCATCAGGGATTTGCTACTGTAAATCTTGAGAAGACCTTAGAGACTGTGAATGGCAGCTGTGGGGAGGCCTGACCCTGGTGGTTGCATATATTACAGCTTCATACGGGATTTTCTGGTAACCTTTCATTTTTCTTATCTCTTGACCTCTCCCATAGTATCTTCCTCACAGCTGCTCTGGGTCTCCCTGAAGCCTTGATCCCTGTGCAGCTGCTGTGGGTGAACTTGGTGACTGATGGGCTCCCAGCCACCGCCTTGGGCTTCAACCCCCCTGATTTGGACATCATGAACAAGCCCCCTCGCAGCCCCAAGGAGCCCCTGATCAGTGGCTGGCTCTTCTTCCGCTATTTGGCTATTGGAGGTAAATGCTTATGCCCTCCATTCTCATTGTCTCAACACACAATGAACATTTACAACTGCAACAATTTCCTGAAAGAAGGGTTGCATTTTCTGACAGAATTGCAAGGCTGCCAATATTTTTGGCCATAACTGTGTGTAATAATTCTGGATTCAAATTCCAAAGATCAGAAAGGTTCCTTTTTTTGGAGTGGGTCTCCTTGAATCTCAAGCCAGTGGGGCCAAACTAATTTTCCTCACCTCTGCCAATTTCTGCACCTTTATTCCTGTTTTAACATGGTCAGAGCCTGGCTCAGAAATCCATTTTGTTCCCAGTTCTCCTGACAAATCTGTCAAATTCTACTTACAGTAGTTCAGAATTTGACAAATTGGGTTGCTCCTTGAGGCATGCTACTAAGCCAGTACCTTAAATCTGAAACAATAATCCATATTTACTGCAGATCTCAATAGCTCATATTAAAGAATTGAACTGAGCTATTCATAATCTGCATTCATCTCAGCACTCTCCACTCCAAGAGCATCTTCTCCAAGATACAGTACTTTTCTCTAATTTTTGTTGTCACTGACTTTTCCTTTTCTACTCCCCACAGGATATGTCGGAGCTGCCACTGTTGGTGCCGCTGCATGGTGGTTCTTATACGCTGAAGATGGTCCTGCCGTGACCTACCACCAGCTGGTGAGCTTTCCCTGTCAGAGCAGAACTTCTTGTTGGGGAAAGGGAATCTCACTGTATGGAGAGTTGGGGATTTCTTTACACTGGGCAGCCACACTCTGTATTTAATCCTGCTTTCCCTTCTCGCCTGTTTCTTTCTTTTCCCCAGTCCCATTTCATGCAATGTACAGAAGAAAACCCTGACTTTGAAGGGGTAGAGTGTGAAATATTTGAGTCTTCGGTCCCAATGACCATGGCTTTGTCTGTCCTGGTCACCATTGAGATGTGCAATGCACTCAACAGGTAAGATCAAATTTAGTTTACACAAACCTTATCCTCCCACCAAATTTATTTCTGGGGTAGGACCTCCAAATGACACACAAGAATAACACACTCCACCCTATAAACACAGAAGAAGAATATTGTGATTTTTTCAGGACAATAAAATACTTCTCTCTTCTAGTATCCCTGCCTCCAACACACGTTCTTCCTTTTTCAGTGCCTCTATGTTGTACACACACACCCCATGGATATGTCCACATTCACACATCTATAATGGATCCAAAAGCATTTGGAGGAAGCCAAAATGTTAGGTAGCTGCAAGGTACGCTTGGTAGACAAGCAAGAGAAATCGTCTTTTCAAAAAGCCAGACAATGCAATGGGCTTTGGAGTAGGGAAAATATCTGGGAACAGTGGCGCCCACAAGGGTCACTCTGGGGAATCCCAGATTTAAAAGAGAAATAAGATTGTCTGTTAACACCCATACTGCCAGATTGGGCAGCCAAGCTACCACATTCTGCCGTTTTTCCTACGCTGCCAAGAATGGGAAAATCTGACAATTTGTATTCGATTGGAGGCCTGTTCAGGCATTTTGAAACCTTTTAGGGAGCATATGTGATGAGAGGTATGCATTCACCTCACATCCCCTCCTTTGGCACTCTTCGCCTCCTTCCCCTGCCAAATACTTGACAACTTATATTTCAAGAACCAACCTCTGCTAATCTCTACTGACTTTTTTTACTTAAGGCTGGGTTTTATTCCTGTTTCAAAGATAACAGGTATTAACTTATAATCTCCGACTCTTGCTTTCTCTCTCATGCAGTCTTTCAGAGAATCAGTCTTTAGTGAGGATGCCTCCCTGGGTCAATATCTGGCTGTTGGGATCCATCTGCCTCTCCATGTCTCTGCACTTTGTCATCCTCTACGTTGATCCCTTGCCTGTAAGTGTTGCTCTGATATGGCCTCAGTTCCAGGCTTCCTTCTAGGGAGGTCCTACCAAATATTAAGTTAAGGGTGCCAATACACAGCCTCTTTCTCTCTCTTGATTTCAATTTCCCTGATGCTCAGTACTTGATCAGTATTTTTTTATTTATTATTGGATTTATATCCCGCCCTTCTAGACAGAAGTCTACTCAGGGTGGCTCACAATAAAAATTCACAGAAAAAGAGCCTCGTGGCGCAGTGGTTAAAACGCTGTACTGCAGCTAAAACTGTGCTCACGACCTGGGGTTCAAATCCCAGGTAGCCGACTCAAGGTTGACTCAGCCTTCCATCCTTCCGAGGTCTGTAAAATGAGTACCCAGCTTGCTGGGGGGGGGCAATGTGTAGCCTGTATAATTAAAAATTGTAAACCGCCCGGAGAGTGCTTGTAGCGCTATGGGGCGGTATATAAGTCCAATAAATAAAT